ATAAAATAATTATTATTTTTTATATTTTTTAAGCTCGAGTTCGAGTTTTATGAAATTAACTGGAGACTCGACTCGATTTGACTCGACTCGTTTGCACCCCTACTTGAAAGCGCTTATAAGATTGGTGGTAACCATTCCTGTTTATAGTAAAATGGGAATGACTTCTCTAATAATGATATCCTCCTCTTTAGCTTCCCTTATAATCTCTAGGTAGTTCCTGTTTGATAATTCAGTTCAGCACTTAAATTTCATGAATTCAGATTTTAACATATTCAAACTGTTTGATAATAAAAAATTGAACATCTGAATTAATTAAATGACACTGAATTTTTTAGGCAAAATTTGTTTTCAAAATTACGTGATAAGTTATTCACTTATCACTGAATGTGATATGCACTCAAATATATTAAATTTAATATTTAACAATTCAATAATTTAATAAATTCATACTTCAGATTTCAGATTTTATGTGGGAAACTAAGGAACATATGGCGCTAGTAACTCTTAGCCATAGCATGATGAAGTCGGATCGTTCTTTGAATCTAAATCCACGCATTGCTGTCCTTGTGATGCACTCTTCTTTTTAGATATGATTTCAAGTGCTTCGCCGTCCTTTTGAACGTTAAATCCAACTCTAATAGGATTTGAACGTGTTTGCATGAAAATTAGACTAACAACGAGGCTTATTAATTCCGCTAAAAACTAAGTAACGTCCAAAGAAAATTCAATTCTAAATCCAATGCCACCAGATAAAGGCACTTGCAACTATATAATTAGTGTGTTGTTGCATCTTTTTGGACATTATGTGTTCATGTTATGCACTCAGGAGGAGCATTAATAGACAAATCATATTAAGTTGAAATTAGAGTTTCAGCAACAACAAAAGCCGCAAAAAATAAATACTCTTTCTCCACACGTATATACCGTCACACAAAAACAAGGGATATAATTATGAACTTTGAGAAAAACTGAAACTAGAATAAGAATTAGGGATTCAAACACTATTAGATCCTCTGAGCATTCCTTCAATTCAACATGCAATTTACATGAAATTGAAAAGGCAAAAACATAAAAATTCATTGAACGGGTCAAGAATTTTTAGTTATTAACCAAAAAAGTAAATTTTTTTTTTTAAAAACTCGAAAAGAGCAAGAAAAATCAATTTGATAGTAGCCGTTAACGTTTCGAAATATAACTTTAAACTTTCAAAGTCTAACCAGGATACTCATGAACTTGTGAGTGCCTGCTGACTATTATGCTATTACAACTTCAGCTTAATGCAAAATAATGTAGAGAAAATGATGATTCGGCTTAATTGCATAAACCTAGGAAGAACAGTCGAATGTAACTCAACCTGCGTTTTGTCGAAATAAACCTGGGATGCAGCATATACAAGCTTGAAGATTTTTTGTTACCTTCCATTGTCCTTTTCGTCAAAACCCAAGTAATTTTCTTCCAGTTGGAATAAATTTCTCTAGAACTCTAAGCTGTTCAGCAATTTTGACAAAAGAAAATGAGAGACAAAGTATGAACCAAAAGGAGGCCACCATTAGATTTGAAGGCAGGTTCAGAACTCCCAGAGAAAGGGAACAGCCTGTAAAATACATTTTTGCCCGAAATTTTTTTTTCATTTTATCTCATATATATCAAATTATTATAATATATTTTTTTTATAAAATTCCAGAAAGTAACAATCCAAACGGCCTCTAAAAGTCCCACTCACCAAATTTTCAGCTCTACCTAAACTGACCACAAGCATTTTTTCATGTACAACGTATGTGCATGGGGAAAACACCGAAAAAAAATTTATGCCAAAAATCCATCTTTGCTTTAAAATAAAAAATGGGAAAAATGGTGTGCAAGTGTAATATGGTGAAAAAGAATAGATGTTACTCAACAAAATCTGATTGTTGTTGGCCTCCAATAAAAAGACAGCATGGCAAGCTCAATGGAAGGTCAAAGATTGTCACCCAAAATCAATATTCATCATGTAACATTGTAACCCTCTCATTTACAAGTGAACAAAAGATAGCTTATGCCCAAAAAAAAAAAAAACTTATGCATTGTTTTTTCTTTTGAAGAAAAAAAAAATGAAAAGCCAGGATTACAATTTAGAATTCAAACATAATTAAGAGTTTTAATCATTGCTTACAGTCAACAAGCAATTTACATGAAAGTGACAAGGCCAAATGTCAAAATAAAAAAATTCATTAAACGGATAAAGAATTTTTGACTATCAAGTGATCTAATATGACTCATTATTTTAAAAAAAAAAAAGAAAAAACAATTTGTCGGGAAGTAGCCGTTAAAGTCTGAAAATAGGACTTCAAAATTTTCACACTGTAACACATTTGTGAGCCTATGCTGGCATTTTTGCGGGATCTCTGAATACAAATCACGAGTTAGAACTATTTTTCATCAATTTCGTCCACTGTTAACTTATTTCATGTTAGAGAAAAAAAAATGAAAATAGCATGAGTAATTAAATTTGGTCTTGACTTCCAAGTGTATTTAAGGGATCCACTCATGCACCATTTACTCTTTCTCCCATTCCCAAACAATTCACATCTCCCTGAGCCCAACCCCCCGCTGCCGCTGGTCATAAGTTTGCAGGTATTCATCCTCTTCTACATGGAAATTTTTCTTAAGGAAAGAGATTAATCACAAAGAAAAAAAAAATACCCAGTCTGACATTGGATTGGAGCAAATGTCTCAATTTTATTCAAATGTTGCAGTTGAATTTCTTGATTTTTTGAGATTCCACCTCGATTGTACTTAGGTTGCCCTGCATGCCATCCCCATTTGGTAAGATTAGAATTGATTTTGAGGAATTTATCTTGATTGTTTAGGGGTTACAGACTTATATGACAAAATCCTAATTGGATTTTGATTGAAATCCAATTCCCACTGTTTGAAATACATTTCTGCGCATGATTTTTTTCATAGGATCTATTTATCTTCATCTGTTTGTGATTGTTTCTGCACATGATTTCTTATAGAATCTATTTATCTTCATCTGTTATGTTGATCATCCTGGCAGAGGATCATGGTTTTGCTAAATCAAGACTCCTGTTTCATTATTCAAACACTTTTTTTTAAGCCAAGTTTGACTTGTTCCATTTTTTTTCCCTCCTCCATTTTTTCCCGTCATCATGCTGTAATCTGCAACTGTACCTGCCCTGGTCTAAATGTTGTCGTTGTCTTGGGAGTTTCGCTGCACAAGAATTGAAGAGGAGAAATGGAGGGATTTCTAAAGATCCTTTGTCATCAGAGAATAAATAATTTATTTGTTTATTTTTGTCGAGCCCTTGAAAAATGCGGGAAAAAAGATCGTTAGTTTAAACTTGCGGATTTCCCAACTTTGCCCTTGCGGAACTATTGGAATATGATGCAACAAAATAAAGGGAAAATCGAGTAACTTCTTCTTTTCTTTTCACTGCCAAACTAACGAAAGGGACTTGAATTTGTTCTCTATCCTAGAATTCCCAAATAGATGAATTTTGATTAGATGGGAAGGGGTAACGAACAATTAACAAACTCAACAAATGAACAGTGGTATAGATTGACATCTAATGACGCAGTTTTTCTCATTTTTGAATGATCATGAATAATTGTAAAAAATCAGTTTACATTCTTGAAAAATGACTAGTGATAAGGGCACACCCGAAGTGTGTAATTTAGGAACAATCATTTTTTATATGAAATAATTTAGTATAAAATTTTTATAAACAAAAAAAATAAACTTTGATCTTTTAAAAATTTTTTGAATGAAATTTTAATTAATTTGGTGATTACAATATTTGTAAATGGTTATGGGTGAAAATTAGTGTGATTGCATTGGTTGGTAATATGTAATTAGATGGTAAAGTTATAATTCAATGATTGTAAAAAGTTAAAAATCTAAAAAGTGACCCAAAAAAAAAATTTACTGCAAATTCAATGCTCTCCCTTTATATATAATATATAGTATAGATAGTTTTGAAGTTTACATGATTATCCAAGTCGTGATTGCGCCATTCTACACTACTATTCCGACTAGATGTGGATAATTTTATTTTTTTTAGAACACTTTTCTCGCTTTAATTTCAATTTTGCTTTTTTTTTTGAAGAAAAAAAAAAGTATATCTAAACTTGAATTTTGAAGATCTTATTCTAACGTTATTCTTTCTACTGCAGGAAGTGTTACTAAGGTTTCTTTTGATATTTGTCCATCATGGAACCAGGTAGTCTCTACGAATTCACTAAGCTCTTCAATCAGTACCCTTTGACACGGACTACTAATGAAATATCAATGATTTCATTTTGTTGGTCATTGACAGGGAACGAGGTGCAACCTAAGACAACTCGGAAGGATGCGAACCTTAATCACTTCTCCCGGCTGTCTGATTCGATCATTCATCACATCTATTCGTTTTTACCTACCCGAGATGTTGCCTGCACCTCCATCCTGTCCAAGTCCTGGTATCGTATCTGGACCCTTTATTCATTTGTTGTCTACCATTTTATCTGCACTTCGTCGGACCAGGTCGAAGAACAAGAAGAAAAAGGAGTAGGATGGGTTCAAGAACGTGGTGCAGAGGTTCCTGGTCCAACGTTTGACTGTACTGGCAGTGGCAGCAGAAGAGGCGATTTCCTGTCAATGGCAGGAAAATTCATCAGACGGCGCTTTATAGAAAACTTAAATATACAGAGATTCCAATTGTACATTGACTGCCCTAAGATGGGCTCACTGGCTCGAAGATTGGATCTATGGATTGATTATGCAATGATGAGGTCTGTGCCAGAGCTTGTTCTTCGCATTGACTGCTTCACCAGTGGTAAAGATGTTGGTCATCGCGTTAACGCTTTTTCGAATCGTCAAAGGCTCCATTATGCTATACCTCAATTTGTTGTTGAAGCTAGGTGGCTAAAAATTTTGGGCTTGAGCGGTTGTAGATTTACGACTTGTTTGGACATCAAACTTCCCCAGCTTCAGAGCCTTTCATTATGTCATTCCTGCTTTGATGATAAGTCTCTATTGGAAAGGTTTCTCCTTGGATGCCCACTGGTTGAGTATGTGAAGATATCATACTGCAGTTGGATGGACAAACTTCTCTCTGTCCCGAACTTACCTGAATTGAAGGATTTTGAGTGTTTGTTCTGTGATATGGTTGACATTATTCAAATCAATGCAGCTAAGCTTCGTACTTTCTCATTTGCGACATTGAAAGAAGTCAAAGAACTTTGGCCATTGACCATTGACTGGACAGCCTGTGCTACAGCACTGAAGGAGTTGAAGATATATGCGAATGGTGCCGCTGACATAGATATGTTAGAGACACCGATATCTCAGCTTCTCTTTCTTGAAACATTGGATATACGCGGCTGCAAAAGTTATGCGGGTTTCAAGATCTCAAACCAAAATCTCAAGAGATTGATCTTTAGAGATTGCAGTCACATGTCAGCTACTCAACTTGATGCTCCAAAGTTAGAGTTGCTTGAATTCAACAACTGCGATAAACCTTTTCTTCCTTGCAATGCCTCGAACAAACTTCAGATTCACTTTAGTTTGTTCTTTAGAGGACATTCAATTGAGTGGCTTTTGCGATTGAAGTATTTTCACAGGACGTTAGAGCATTGGGAAGATTTGAAACTGATCGTCTATCCTGAACATCAGGTACTACACTTCTTTCTTAACCACTTAGCTAAGGTTCCGTGAATATGTTTTTGTTGCTTTACTTGGTTTGAGAGTTGTATGTGATGCTATTCGACAATGGACGTAAAAATCTTACCCCCTCCCTTTTCTCTCTTCTCTATGCATGGGTTCCTGAGTTTCAATTCTTTTGCAGATGAAGATTACGGATGAGCTGCCAATCAAGGTTTGGTCTTCTATCCATCATCTAGCTCATTAAATATTCTTTTGAATCTATAATCTCCCCTTTAATTTTTCTTTTCAAACTATACTTCCTAATGGAATTATTCTTGTGCAGGACATGGCTATTCATGACAGACTGAGTAGGGTAAGCTGTTCTTACCTTTTAATATATAAATTTAGATTAGTGATGCCCTCTTTATCGATGTATTCATGTGAACGTATGATTTGTAGCATGCAAATTAAATAACTTTTGTACACACTAAAAAAAAAATTGTTTCATTGCGTCGCATATTTCCTCAGATTAGCTCGACCTTTGTACTAACCTTCCTTTGCTGATCATTTTCTTACCTACATGTCAGTTTGTACTAGAAAAGGCCAGGGAACTTAGCAGTAGTCCGGGCAAAGACCAGAGGCTAATCAGTTGCGAGCTGGATACCTCTGAAGCAGTTGACTATCCACCGGATCCAAGCGCAGAAGTCTTTAATGTGAAACACTCGAGTCCTGGCAGCAAGGCTTCTAAAATAACATTCTTGTGGAAGTATGATGCTTCCCAACAAAGGTTTATACTGTAGTCCAAAACTTTGGCTTAGAATTTCTGGGATTTGAACTTCATTTTTCAGCTTGTTTTGATGTTTCATCTTTAACTTGTGTATTTAAGTTTTCTGGATTGGTACATCACTTTTCATACTATCTTTTTCTTTTTTTTTTGATGTTTCATATTTGACTTGTATCAACTATTTAGATATAAGCACGTACAATTCTTCATTTCAAAGTGGTATGTGTTGGTATTGATGGCTGAAAAGAAAGAATAAATTCTTGAATTATGATGAAAAAAAAAGAAGAGTTTCTACAGGCAAGGTTATCGGCGAAGGCATTTCTAAAACGAGGTTGTTCGCATTCATTGAATGCGAACTTACATAGCTCGCATTCTCGCATTTGTCGAATGCGAGCTAGGATACATTTAAAAAAAAAAAAAAAATACCTCGCATTTCTCAGTCTCTTTCACCTAAACCCAAAAACAGAGCTCCGTTCTTTACATCAAACATTCGGCATTCAAATCCATAAGCAGAGGGGCAGAAATTGGAACGAAACTTTGCACATCCAGCTCACTCTCTCGTCTTTTGCTTAGCTAGACACCAGTCCAAGCTTCCAAGAGGAAATTGCCCAAAATCCCTCAATCTCTTTCTTTCTCGTCGGTTGTTGTCCACCATTTTTGAGCTTCCACCAGACGCCATTTGCACGCCAACCAGCTGCCATTTCTGCCTCAGCAGTCATCCCCAACCAATTTTGTGACCCTTTGCGCTGCACATTTTCTTTTCCCTTCGCAAATGGCTTTCAAATTCGTGGCTGTGCTCTGTAGCTCACAAACAGCATAAAAGGTATGAACTTTTGTTGCAAAGCCTGATTTTTATGCGTTTTATATTTATTTAATACTTTAATCCGATGTAAAGTTCAGATTTGATGTCAAATTTGGATGTAAATATCATGTGGGTTGTGCTGCTTTTTCCATTTTTTTCTGTCGAGGCTGAGGAAATATCTTCTGGGAGGGGAAATCCTTGGGTCAAATGACCCACTGCACCCCAGAGCCAGAGTAAAATGCAGAAAGAAAACCACAGAGACAGATGTAGATAAAATTAGTGGTATTTGCATATAACTTCACAGCTAGTCCTGCATCATTTTCTTTTGAGTTACCGATAACTTTGACTTGGTTCTAGTGTTCATGTGACCAGCCATTTGGCATTTTTGCCTGATACCAGTAAGTTGGATTTCGTAATTAGCATCCACGGTATTGGCATTGCTATTTATAACTTGGCAATTTTGAAAGTTTACTAGCTGGCTGCTTAATATACGGTTAATGCTTAAAATATGCTGAATCAATTAGGATTCTCTTAGTGAATAGTCTGTTTGTGGCATTCTAGTGGCTAAGTTAAGTTGTCCATCTTTTAGTTTTGTTGTATTGCTGTTTCTTCAGTACCTTGATGGGTTGTAATGCTACCAGACCAGTAAGGTTTTCAGGTTCTAGTTCATGCTTTTGTAACCCCCTCCCCCCCCCCCCTCCCCCCAACAAAAAAAACTGCTATTAGCTACTTACTATTAAACGATGCAATTTGTTTTTCCTTTTTAAGTAGTGGTATGTATTAGCTACTTGTTTTGAAGTTTTGCTTCTTATTGAGAAACTATGTATAGTTTTGAGATGCAGGAAAAACCTGTAGGTCCTTGCACCATATATCTAGTCTTACAATTCTGAGTTATCACTGTTAACAATTCTAGATCATCAACATTTGCATAATGAGGCTCGCTTAGGTGATACACCTAAATAACTGTTTTGCATGGCTAGAAACCTTGAGGCACCCAGTCCATTTGCTATTTCAAGACACACTGCTGGCACAGTGGTCTTTCTTTCTGCAACATTCAACCTTCTTCCATCTTAAATCTGATAATTGAGTATAGTCAGTAGGGTCCATCTAATATGATTAGATTTTGAAGAAACTAAATATTTTGTACTTGCATGTAGGCTTATGAATGCATGGAAGTTTTGATCCCAATCTTAGTTAATTGTGAGGGCAACTGTGAATTTTTCTTGGTTGAGGAGCTAGAATGAATATACCCATTCCGGACTGTACAACTCCTCTGTTTTTATTTTTATTTTTTAAGTCTGTTCATACAATCAGCCATGGAAAAAATTGCAAGCTTGGTAGAAGCAAGAGTTGGGGATTGGGGCATACAACCTGTATAAGGGTCACTTTTTTGAAGAAATTCTAATGCCGTGAAGTTTGAGTTTGACAATGGCATATTAGTTTCTAAAAAGCAAAAGAAACAGTGGCATAATTTCTAGTTGTTGACGATGGCATATGGAGAATATTCTAGAAACCAACTTAACCTCTAGGACTTCTTAGCATATGGAGAATATGCTAGAAACGAACTTAACCTCTTGGACTTCTTAGCATTCTATTCATTTTTGGTCTCACTTGCGTAGTTAGCCTTTTAATTCTGCCACCTAGTTAAATTATTGCAGAATGCCTTGCTTTATGTTACCTTAGCAACAGGGGTTAAAATGATCTTGGTACATCATGGACGCCAGTCCAATCCAAAATTCTTGAACCAAATTGAAGAGTTTATTTCTTATAGCTGTCATGAATTTTCTGGTGTTTGAAGCAAGTGATTGTAAATTGTATGCTTAAAGTGTTTGACTTTTCCTTATTAAGGAATTTATGGTTGGATAAGCATCTAGAAATATATTAACTTGATCAGAAATTTCACAAGGCTTGTAGGTGGAAGTTTATGTTGGTTTTTGAGATAATTGAGCTGATCACTTCCTGTACATATATCAGGAAATTGATCAAGGCTGTGTTGTTTTGTGTACATCAATGTTTGAACAGAACTTATAGCAGGTTCCACATACAGCTTGACTCGCTTTGGTTAACACTCTGCTTAGCAAGTTGTCATATCCATATTGTTGGAGATGGAGGAGCAACGGCAACTCTCCCAAGCATTTATATCAATTTCACATTGTTTCCGGGAGCTAATCATGTCACGGATCATTTATCTAAGAGGGCTTCTCATAGCTAAGCCTTTCAAATTTCATGGATTTTGGATGTCTCACAATGATTTCCCTCGGCTACTTCATAAGGCATGGCGTACTGAATTTCAAGGTGACCCTATGAGGACTTTCTGTTTGAAACTGAAAGAGGTAAAGACGGCATTAAAAGAGTTAAATAAGAAAGAATTCTGGGATATCTCTGCCAAAACTATTCATGCACAAGAGGCTCTATAGTCTGCTTAATTGGAGTTTAGTTCATTGTAGTAGTACTATTGTATTGCTTAATTGGTTGTAGAAGTACTTTTGTGTTGCAGATTCCTCTGCTCTTGTGTACATTCATGTTCTATTCAATAAAATCCCTTTTTACGTAAAAAAAAAAAAATCTTCTCATAGCTGATACACACTTCCTTGGACTCTCTTCTAGCTCTAGCTCGATGATCATTTTCTTTAGATAGAGCATAGATGACTTCTTTCAGAAAGCGTGCTATTAGATGGTACATATGTGTTTACATAGATTCTTTTTAGCTAGCCATTTCGTAGTAGTTGTCATGATTATATTCAGGTCACGTATTCTCATTCCAAACTCTTGTAATGTTTATTTACTTTATGGTTTAATAAAATAAAAGGTTAGCATCCCTCATCTATGAATGGAGTTTGCCATTAAAAAAAAAAAAAGCAGAGAGAGAGAGAGAGAGAGAGAGAGAGAGAATGTCCCTTTCTGTTTAACCGTGGAAAAAGAAAACAATTTAGTGAAGATTGATAAGAAAAGCAATGACTTCTTCAGTGATTGTTAGTCGTATTTTATGCGATATTGAGGATGATACCTAGTTCAAAGTTTAAAAAAAAAAAATCCTCCATGAAGGAAAATTTGAACTCCGAAATTTCTTTTAAGAAAGCTTGGTATGATAAGAGGAGCTATTGAGCTTGTTTATGGCATTTGGGGTACCAATTTTGTTGAATTACTGAAGTATGTGGAAGCATCTGTCCAATTAAGTAATATTAGTGCTTAGTTAATATCTTCTTTAAACATTGCATAAATGCTAAAATAATGATTTACTCTTGATTACATCAATAATCATTCAGTATGGTTTTAACGTGAAACTCAAGATTAATGGATTTTTTTTGGCAATCGCTTAATAACCTACAAATTCGTCCTCCATAATTTTACAAAACAAAAAACAAAATCCACACTCTGAAAAAAACAGCCTGCTTAATTTTGCAAAAAAGAAAAGAAAAGAAAAGAAACGCATGAGCCTTGGATTGAAATATAAAGGGTTCCTGCCTCGCATAGGTTAAATGCGAGGTTACTTGACCTCGCATTTGCCAAATGCGAGGTCTGAAGTAATTCTTTTTTTTTTTTTCCTTTTTGTGGATTGAAAATTCTAGGGGACATCGCATTTGTCAAATGCGAATTCATTCAGTTTACATTTTACAATTGTGAAGACCCTTGACGAAAGTCTACACTTAAAATACTCCTTTTGCAGAAACTTTTTAAAATTCATCATCAAATTGGAAATTTCTTGAAAAGAAACAGTTTTAACATTTGGGGATTAGCTGCAGTAAGGCATGCTTTGCTCCATAAGTACAAATACTTGTCATATATTTTGTCCATCCTAACAGTTATTGTGCTACGGCACCATCAACTCAAGTAGTTGGACCTTCACAATCAGCTCTAAGTTGGCGCCTAATAACACACAAGTTGTGGCATGGGCTGTAATTCATTTAGGTTTTGTCTAGACCTTAGATGAGGCACCATTCCAAATTTTGCTTTGTACCTCACCAACTTTGGTCCCTGATTGCCCCTAATGTGGTTACTTTTAGGTTGGATGTCTGCGGCATGTGAATCTTTTGCATCTGTCGCTTATGTCTGTTTATAAAGGATATTTTGACATATCATACAAGAATTTTACTACTACCACTATCAGGATAGAAATTTTACAGGAGCCATGCAATAATTTGTTTTGCTCCAGAGGCCAGTGCCTTACTATTCTTGTGCTTTACTTGCATATTGTGAATTATCATACATGCATGTCTAGTTGCCTATAAAGCAAGTCCATTTCTCATTGCTTCCCTCCTGTGCATTCTGTCCCAAGGAAACCAGAAACCTCCCCCCCACAAACCCACAATGGCTCCAACTAAAACACCCTCCACTTTCAATGCCTTGTTCTTCTTCCTCTTCTTCATTTTAATCCTCTTCTCCATCTGCCACTCGTCTCTTGTTTATTCTCTTCCTCAAAAACAAGAAGAAAACCAACAGTTTCAAGTCCTTAACGTGGCTGCGTCCATTCATAAAACTCTTCAAGTCTTCTCAAAAACGACTCCTCCGTCCCCCACCATTACCGCCGCCGCCTCCGCTGCTAATTCATCCGTATTCTCAGTTTCTCTCCATCCACGCATTTCTGTGGTGAAACCCCACCACCAAAACTATTCTGCACTCACAATATCCCGACTAGCCTACGACTCAGCTCGAGTCAACTCCATCAACCACAAGCTTCAACTCTCTATTTCTCAAACCGTTCATCAAAGGCTCATCCAACCCGAGGACCTGCAATCCCCAGTAACCTCAGGGGAAAGCCAGGGAACCTTTGAGTACTTAGCCAGGGTCGGGTTGGGCCGACCCGTTAAAGAATTCTTCATGTCCATAGACACTGGAAGCGACGTTAGCTGGCTCCAGTGCCAGCCTTGTGACTTTTGTTACCAACAGTCCGACCCGATTTTTAACCCGTCCGGATCATCCACTTTTAATACCCTATCATGCTCTTCCCGAGAGTGTAATTCCCTTAAAATCAACGGTTGCACTGATGACATGTGTCATTATTACGTGTCTTATGGGGATGGGTCATTTACGCATGGGGACTTTGGCACGGAAACGGTGACGTTTGGGAGGTCCGGTTCAGTTAGCAATGTTGCTGTCGGATGCGGGCATGATAATGAGGGGTTATTTTCTGGATCAGCCGGTTTAATCGGGTTAGGAGTTGGATCGCTGTCATTTCCTTCACAAATTAAAGCCACGTCGTTTTCGTATTGTCTCGTGGATATGGACTCCCATTCATCTTCAACTCTCGAGTTCAACTCAACTCCACCTAGTGGCTCAATCATTATTCCAATGGTTTATAACCCGAAATTCGATATATACTTTTATGTAGATCTCGTGGGAATTAGTGTCGCTGGAGCAAAATTGCCGATTCAACCCTCGGTTTTTCAGGTTGGAAGTGACGGAACCGGGGGAGTTATGGTTGACTCGGGAACAATAGTGACTCGACCAGTGCCTCCGGCATACGAGTCCCTGCGTGACACTTTCGCTAAGCATGCTAAGAACCTACATCCCACGAGTGGTTATTCTCTGTTTGATACATGTTATGATTTGTCCTCTATCCCTGATGAAGTGGAGGTTCCAACTGTGTCGTTTCATTTTTCGGGTGGGAAAACGTGGTTGTTGAAGTCGAAAAATTGCCTAATCCCAGTTGATTCCAGGGGCAAGTTCTGCTTCGCTTTCGCTCCTTCAGACTCAATTTCCATCATTGGTAGTATACAGCAGCAAGAGACGCGCATCAGTTATGATTTGGCCAAGAAACTAATTGGTGTCAGCCCGGATAAATGCTAAGGCTATATATAGCTGTTTCTTGGAATTAAAATTCAATTAGGATTTAATACTGATAAAACTAGAATCTCAAATAACTTGGATTCTATTATTTATATGAATTGTACATTTATATTATACTAATAGATTAAGAGTGATATTCAAAACGTTGAAGAGCTTAGATCGAGTCCTTATTTTTATCAAATTAGCAACGGAATGTCAGCACGACAATGCACAGTATTTAGTGTCGATGTTTATTTATTTCAAAAAAGGGTTTAAAATTATGGAAGATTTGTGATAACTAATTTTAGGCAAATGATAATTGTACTAATTTTTGATATACTGATAAATTGTACACCAGTGAATCTCATGTATACATTAATTAACCTAAAACATGTATCAACAGTTGATGTAATAAAGATTAATTCATCAAAGTTCTTCCAAAAAAAAAAAAAAAGTGTAAGCTTAGAACTTTCAAACATACGTAACAGGTAACGCTGCTCTCATCAATCCTTGGAACAAATTTCTAACGATCACGTGAAGAAACTTTGGACCCTACTGAAAACTGAGGATTGAAGGGAAGAAAATATGTGGATTCTGTCTCCCTTGTATAAGCGATTGCGACTTGCCATGTTACTGATGCGTTTCTGCAACTTTTTCATGCATGTTCCATCGACACAAAAAGTAGTAATTGTTGATTTGATAATCACTATAGCTTAATAGACCGAACAAGAATGTAACAGCCACTGGCTCTGGCCTACATCACAATAATGTCTGTTTCTCGAGGATTACACTGTATATTTTGATCTCTATTTAGATTATTCAAAACAAGACCGCAGTCCATAGCTACCACAATAGGTGAAAGTTCTGATGCAACCACACCATGTGGTTTTCGGTTTGGGAGTCGTTTTCTTGTGTTGTGATGTGATGTTACATGGATTCTTGATCATTTTGGAACCATTCTCGTCATTTGTTTGGGTGGCAACTTGCATGGCTGGCTATTGTAAACTTGTATCCCTTTCCATCGACTTGCTTTCCAGTTGATTTCCCTTTTGCTATCAAATGCTATTGATTTTCAGTGGATATTCAACTTGCCGGAGTAGACGAGCCTGGCTAAATCGGGTCTTCGTTCACAAAATATTGGCCACTTTTACGTAATCAAAGGTCAGAAAATTATTAGTCAAAAAAGTTCAAGATATTAAGCCATTATGTCAGTTCAAACACAAGGAGGGGGATAGGCATATCAATAGGTAGGATTTGGATTGGATCCCTTTGATCCAAATCCAAACATATTAAATTTAGTTACACTCAAACCCAAATTTTGAAATCCTTATAGGTTTGAAAAATAAATTCGAACCCAAATCCTCATGGGTTTAGGTATCTAATGGGTATCTGTAGGTATTTTTCTAAACATACAGTAAAGAACTAAAGCAAAAATATTTTAAAAATATATACAGTTCAAAAATAACATAAATGCCATCTAATTTTTGTTTTTAAATAATGAAATTAACATTCAATAAGTTGAAATGAGATAGAGTGGGAGTCAAAGGCGAGAGGCGCGCAATAGATAGGTGAGATTAGATGGTGTTTTCTTAGATTAAGAGCATATTATTTAATCTAATAGTTATGAATTCTTCCTATATTCGATCCAATTGCCATAGGATATTTGATTATTATATATATATATATACGTGGCTCTAGGTAAAATCTGATTTAGATCTAAATCACAAAATATTCGATTGACATGTTTTAGAGGTAAGTATGAATTAAGTTAATTCTGAGTTCGAATGCCTTTTGATCCTATTTTATTTTGGAGTTGGATTGATTAATGCTGGGTGCCTGATTGCCTACTAATTGAATTTGAAGGCTGGAACTGGACCAAATGATGGACTACGATGCATATCCACTTCATTTAAGAACAGTTCCTTCTTCATCTTAGTCGTGATTCCATCCACCAACTCCTTCATAACTTAAATGAAAGATTTGAGAATCCACCAGAGCCGCTGAGACCTTTATTAGGGGTTGGATGTCATGGGCGTGATTATTTCTACATTTGTAGCTATTCAATTTAAATGGGACCTGCGTTTCTTGTAGTTTGTATTAAGGACCAATGGATTTCAAACCTTTACCATATTCTGTCTCATCATTACGTGATCCGAGTGTTAAAAAGGTACCACATGCATTCTCTTTGGGATCTCCAGTAAGCATCAGAAGGGGATTGATTATTCCTAAACTTTAACTCTACCATGCAAAGAAACAAAGGTCTTTACATTACCAGCATATTTTGATTTTTTTTTTATTTAATATATCATTGCCTTGATGAAATCATATTGAATAAGTTATGGCACATAGATTGTTACTTGATTGAATAATTGACAAAATAGAATAATGACATTGGTTTTTTCTTGTTAAAGCTGCCTTCTATGTGTGCTCTCCGAGTCCGACATTGAAACTCACATAATTTCTTCCAACAAGAAATTGATATTTATACTGCCTCCGTACCATTTTGACAGTTTTTTTTTTTTTTTTTTTACAGCCATCTCAAATTATAATCCAATCTTCAATTGAAAAATGTTGATATATTTAATTTGTAATTTCTCTAAAATGCCCCAGACTTGTTTTATAAACTTGTTTTCCTTCTTCATCTATCTTAAATTGTAGTCCACTTTCCAATTATGAATGTATATGTAGTTAATTTGTAATTTCTCTAAAATGCCCTTATTTACTGTAAGTTATTATTGAATATAACCTAATTTATTTATTGTAAAGCTAAGTAGTTACACTCCATTTAATGTAATTCATTTGTTGTAAAGCTAATTAATCGCTGTATTTAATGTATTAGTCATACTCCATTTAATAGAAGGATTTTTTAGGAGGGAGCATCCGGCAATTAAGAGCCTCAAAGCCCACACAGTTACAGGAAAATGGTTTACAATTAAGAATTGGACAGGGGCCGCGCGAACGCAGGCCCCCACCATAACAAATTATGACGTAGGCTCAACCAACTTGGGCTGACCTTAGGCGGGCACCCCTCCTAAGTGCAATGGAGGTCACCAACCTAGGCTATGGGCCTTCTTGATCACCCATTGACCCCGTCCAGGTAAGTATGTTTCCCAGTAGCTTCCATAAACATTTAAGTATGCGTTACAAGGTTTGCCGTCTCTTGTGTGTTCCGATGTGGGATAATGCTTTCATCACTGCTTTTGTCATTCTATTCTTTATTGTGGGCCCTAACTCCTAGCTAGTAACAAGTATTGTTACGTTTCGAATAAAAAAAATCAAATTAATAATCAATAAATATAAATGAGTTGCAATTTTTTGGAGATTCTACGGTGTCTTTTGGGTATCACACTCACGAGTGAAGTTTCCCGTTGGATGATGACAAAAGTGTTATAGACCATTAAATTAAGCATGGTTAAATATTTAAATTATTTTATTTAATGAGAGATACAAACTAAAGAAATGGTACCCAAAAGGGATCATAGGATTTTTTGAAGTCTATCTTTAAGTGTCTTAAGATGTCTCTCATTGCAATGGCCTTTTTTGTTTCTCCTTTTTCATTTTTGTCTTATAATATGGTGCAATGAACTTTAGAAGAGGACAGTTTCATTTTAGTAATTATTATCCCAATTAAAACATATGAACTTGGATATGAGAAGTGAGGGTATCATGGAAATAACAAAAAACTAAGAGCCAAATAATGGTGTCACTTGAAAAGGGGAGAAACTATATAGATATACACAGATTGGATTGAAATACAGATAGTTTCAATGGTTAAAGAGGGTATATCGATATACATAGATTAGATTGGATACAAATCATATAGTTCTAAAGAGGGTATATCGATATACGCAGATTAGATTGGATACAGATAGTTTCAATGGTTAAATTGTCTTTTTCAAGAGTTTGCTTTTCTCTTTACCTTCATGAAACTAATTTGACTCTCAGCATAATCTGACTAGAGTAACCATCAAACACCACCAGATAAAAGCACTCACAAATCACACAAACATCTACACAATGACCTTTTTAGTTCTTTGGGCATGGCTTCTTCTTAAGAAGCAATTTACGTGAAATTGTAAAAAAAAATATATATATATATATTAGTGGACCAAGAAATTTTTTTTTGCACAAACCATTTCTAATTTATAAGGAAAAAGAATAGGTGACCAAAAGAAGAAAAGGGAAACAAAAGAAGAAAACTAGAAATCAGGACTCAAAAAAATATTTGCAGCAAGTAACCGTTAAAGTTTCTAGATAGGACTTTAAACAAAGTTGGCTGTGCATTACTGCATGGTGAAAGAAAAGTCCAAAGCCATCAACCTTTTACACCCTGAAATACAAAGAAAAAGTTAGCACAATTTTTCTTCAATTTCTGCTGCTCTTCACACCTCTCAGATTTTTGCCAAAGAAATAAAAAGTTGTCGTGATCAATCAATCAAATTCAGAATGTAATTTGTAAACTTTCAAGTATATTTCTAAAGCTTTCACTCTCACTGCATATTCTCTCCTCCTCTAATTTCTCCCATCTGATCAGAAAGACAATTCACACCTCCTCTCTTGGGCCACCCACCGCTTCCTCTGGTCACCACATCAGTTCTTGCAGGTATTCTCTTCTTCATCTGGATTTAGAAAACTTTTGGTTTTTATTACAGAAATTAATCCACGACCAAATGCAACCTAAGGTCATAACGTAGTTTGCAGCTAACTATATGTTGATCATCTTGATTCGGATTGGAAAACTTGTTTTTAATTACAGAAATTAATCCATAAACAATTCCAATGGGAACTTGCATTAGAATTGATCATAGAAGCATTTGAGAGAAGCTGATCATAGAAGCTTCAACATGCATGTAATTTAATGTATGGTTCAATTCAATCTTAAGTTTATAGCATTAGAATTGATATTTCCAACATATTTGTGTAATTTGGATCACAAAATTCTTGGATTATTTCTTTAAATTCCTTTGATCCAACAAACTGCAAGTTTCATAATTGCCGAACTTGCATGTGTTAGAATTACTCTAAATCTGTTTCAAATTGTTACAAATGGTAGTTTCTTGTGTTCTTTTTCTATATTTCTGCATCTGTTTTTTATGTTCAAGTTTGATTTAAGATTAATTGTTCCTCCCCCACAAAAAGAACAACCCCTTGCCTCAAAAACTCCCAACCCTTTTCTCCTAGGATCATGATTTTGATAAACACTTCCTCTCATTCATTCTTCAACCACATGCCAAAGCCAAATTTTGCTCTTTCCATGTCTTTAATTTTTTTTCCTCCAATTTCTTTTTTTTCTTGTCATTATGCTATAATCTCTAAATGCTCCAATAGGAGTTGTTGTGTCAGTTTGGGAACTGGGAGTATCACTGGAGAAGAATTGAGAGGAAGAAATCCTTCTATACAGAAAAAAACAATACTAATTTATTTTGCCGTTCCTAAGAAAACGCGGGAATGAAAGTCGTTGATGATTTAGTTTGCGTTCCTAAGAAAACTCGCGGGAAAGAAAGTCGTTGGTTTAAACTTGTTAATATGCCAGCTTTGCCCTCGCGGAACCGGTTTTTTTTCTTTTTTCCAAATAACCGTTAACGGAGGCCTTGGTGTTTGTCGCAAAATGAAGGGCAGAATTAATTTTTATTTTTAAAATTTCTTTTCTTTTTTCAGTCAAAATAACTAAAGGATGTAATCAAATAACTTTTTATTAACTTCCGAAACATATATTGGACGGAACGCATGAAATAAAATAACATTGAAACTGGATAGCATATATACTGTTAATGTATATAAAATTAATTCATATTTTTTTTCACTTAAAGTTATTCTTACTGATGCAGGAGGTTTGAGTGGCTGAAGTTTCTATTGATATCTGTCCATCATGGAATCAGGTACTCACTAGGAACCTAGTGAAATCTTAAAACGTGACCCTATTTCTTGGACCTAGTATTAATTGTTGAAATATGTATCTATCATTTTTGCTGGTTTTTGATAGGAAACGAGGTGCAAACAAGAACAACTCTGGATGATGTGAGCCTTGGCAACTTCTCCCGGTTGCCTGAATCGATGATCCATCATATTTGCTCGTTTCTATCTGCTCGAGATGTTGCTCGCACCTCTATCCTGTCCAAGGCTTGGTATTGCATCTCCGCCATTTATTCCTACATTACCTTGCATTTTACTTACGAAAAGTCGGATTCGGAAGATTTATTCGGACATGGTCTTCCTGATGAAAGGTTTAGTCAACAAGTTGAACGCGAACATCTCGATTTCCTGTTTATGATAGAAGAATCCGTTCGAGAATGCCTCGAAATGGAGTCTAATGTACTCAGAGTTGATCTACATATAGACTTCCCTGATATAAATCTGTTGGCTCCAAGACTAGATGGATGGATTTCTCTTGTATTGAAGAAGAATATTAAAGATCTTCTTCTTTGCGTTGACACTTTAAATCGCACTAGTGCTCACTCTGCTTGGTCTCATTATAATCGCATTAGAGGTCTCTCTGCTCGGTCTTCTTATAATGGCAGTAGCGGTCGCTCTGCTCGGTCTTATTACAGTGTTCCTCAATTTCTTGTACTTGCTAGCTGTTTAAAAGTGTTGAGCTTGAGTTATTGTGCATTTGAGAGTAGTTTGGAGATTAAACTTCCCCAGCTACAGAGGCTTTCTTTCCGTGACTCTTGTTTCGTGGGTAGATCTTTATTTGAAAGGTTTCTCTGCGGATGTCCTGTGATTGAGTGTGTGAAAATGTGGTCCTGCAAAATAGACAAGCTCCTCTCTATCCCAAATTTACCTCGACTGGAGTATTTTGAGTGTGTGAACTGTGCTATTGTTGACATTATCAGAATGGATGCGGCTAATCTGCAGAAATTCTATTTTGGAGCACCCCAAAGTGGCTGGCCTAAAACTATTGATTGGGCAACTTGTAATCCAGCCTTGAAGGAAGTGATATTTAATGGAAAGAGTAGCGCATGCATCGATGTCTTATCAACCGTATTATCTCAGCTTCCGTTCATTGAGACATTAGAATTACATGACTGCATGAGCTATGGGAAGTTCAAGATTTCGAGCCAGACTCTTAAGAGGCTGGTCTTTAAAGACTGCAGTAACCTGTCATTTGCTCAAATTGATGCTCCAAACTTGGAGTTATTGGAATGCGTTAATTGCGACGAGCCTTTTCTTCCAATCAGTGCCTCACATCATCTCCAAGTTCACTTCAGCTTTGTGTTTGGAGCACACTCTGTTGAGTGGCTTTTGACATTGAAGGCTTTTGTTAAGAAGCTGAAGCATTGGGAAGATTTGAAGCTGATCGTCTATCCTGAGCATCAGGTACGGTTCTTTGGATATCTTTCTGTTTCTCCCCTTCATATATAACTATTCTTTCTCTGAAATGGATCTCTGAAATGAATTGGAGATAACAAACTGCATTATTTTTTTTTTTGTTTGATTTTCTCTAAACGTTAAAATGTTGGAATTATAGGCTCCCCTCTTCTCTCTTCTCCATGCTTACATTTCTGTTTCGATTCTTGTGCAGAACAAGATTACTGATGAGCTGCAAATTGAGGTCTGGTTTTCTGTCCATTAATTATTTAGACATTCATTTTTTTTTGGGGGGTCTATAATTGCCAGACTTCTCGCTCTTTCCAATGCATTCTTCTTAACATAGATGTTAATTCTTGTTCAGGGAATGATAATTCATGACAAACTGAGCAAGGTCAGGTTTTCTTTATCTTAAAGATTTTATACACTACTGGTTGACTGTCTAGGAATTTTATCCAAAATGTACCCGTTTTGGTCATTGTCTTACCTCAGTTGGCATTGGAAAAGCTGGAGGGACTTGGCAGTAATGCAGGTCCAGAAAACCAGCTAATCCGTTGCGAGGTAGGCACATCTGAAGCAGTTGAAAATTCGAAGGATCAAGCCTCAAGTTCTCGCAGCAGGACTTCCAGGATTACTTTCAAATGGAAATATGATGCCTCGCAACAGAGGTTTATACTCTAGACTTGCTTCAGATGAGCACATTGGTACGTGAATGCTGCTGCTTTCCTTTTGGTGATGCCAAGCACATACTTGAATACTGTGCTGGACATATTGAGTATTGTAGTATGTATTTCAACCATATATTTTTCAGTTCAGGAGTCATTTTCTTCAATTAAGATGATGTTGTATGGGTTCTTGATCATTTATCATTGTTTGATATTTGTTTTGCCCTGGTGGAATCATATGGTGCCAAATGACCTTGAGATGTACTACTAGTATTTAATTGAATTGTGGGGGGGGGGGGGGGGGGGGGGGGGGGGGGCGCAAGGCAGAAGAACTGACCTTGGATTTTACATACTTTATTCTCGTCATTTGTTTATTAGGTCAGGGTTAAAAGAAAATTGACATAAAATTCATAATTTTGTTAATAGAAAACCAGGTACTGGAATCAAATTAGAGGGAAGTAATTCAATTGTCAACCTTCCCAAACTAACACAAGCTGCATTCTTTTATTTTGCTAGAATAACCATCTGAAGGCATTAGAGCCTGACACATAGCTAATTTAATTAGGGATTTGAAATAATAAAATACTAGAGGCACCAGGCCAAAGATGTACGAATTGTATAATAAGATTTTAGAGTGAGAGACCAAGTCTCTAAAACCAACGAAAAAACAAAGATTTGAGACATTAGTCTTGGGCAGGGGCCGCGCGGACGCAGGCCCCCACTGTCACAAATTATGACGCAGGCTCAACCAACTTGGGCTGACCTTAGGCGGGCACCCCTCCCGAGTGCAATGGAGGTCACCAACCTAGGCCATGGGCCTTCTTGATCGCCCATTGACCCCGTCCAGGTAAGTATGTTTCAACGTTGCTACCCCGCTTACTTAAATATCTCACGCAAGCCTTGCCTTCTGCTGTGTGTTTCGATGTGGGATGACGTTTATACATCGTTGCACTTCGAAGCGTCCAAAGATGGCTGATTCTACCATCCCTCTGCCCGGGGATCCATAAATAAAATCAAAATATGAAACAATTCCAATTTGAAGAGTCCAAGATGGCTAAGTTCAATGAATTTTCGTCTAAGATAATACAAGTTTAACTTTTCAAATTCTCTTTTTCCGAGGCCTTTTTTTTTTCCTTTACCATTATTTGATGTATTTTATTATTAGTGATATAACCTATCTTATTCATTAATTGCTTTGATTCATTGCCTTGAATGGTGTAACTTTTCATCAATATTGTTGTTGTAATTAATGTAAAGATATAATGGCTAATTATACTACTAATATTAATGTGAGGGTATATTAAAAAAATAGTAGGCTAGATTTACTATTTCCATAAAGTTAACTAAATTTTCTTAAATTGTGTGAAAAATTCAAAACTATCAAAGTAGGACGGAGGGGGTATATGGTTATGGTTTAATTTCTTAATATTTCACAATGAAATTATACTAGTTTATCAAGTCAATTTTAAAAGTAAATCTACATCAGTGAATATTCTTAATATCGCTAATAAATTTTTGGTCTATCTAATGGAATTTTTGGTTTGTCTTACAGGTATTCATTGGACACGCTTTAAAATGTACTTCATGTGTTAGATTTTTTAAAAAGATTAATATTTCCTACACTGGCAGTGTATACACTGTCAATATTGAATGAATGACAACGATACAAAATTGAATTTGAAATTCAATTTTTGCACATGTGTCATGGATCCAACGGTAATAGTGTATGCACTGTCAGTGTATATAAAATTTACTCTTTTTAAAATATAAAATTAATTAGAAAAAGTACATAAATATAAGGATGGGTAACAATCATCGGTGTATATATAAATGATGGATTGGGTAAAATTTAAGTGTATTAACGAGCACTTATTGAGCACCTCTTAAAAAACCTGTAATATTTTAGACATACAGTTTGCTTTCTAAATTTGGTTAGTGGTTAAGGCTTTTTCTTTCCCTTTTTTTTTTTAAGTGTAAGTAAGAGGTCTCTTTTAGTGTAAGTTAGGGGCTAAGTTCATTATTATTTGTCCAAACAATTTTTTGCTGAATTTCAACTTTGAGGGTTTGCTGCTAAGTCAGAAGGTGGGAATTCCTGAATCATTTAGAAACAACAGAAGCTAAACTACATCAATGAGACCAAAAAGTAAGATAGCCGTAAGATCAATTGTCATTTAACCAACGTATACATACTCCCTCAAGGAATTAAGATGTAAGAATGATATTAAAGGGAAAAGAACAAGAAATCGCCTTTGGGTGTCGAATAGCCTTCTATTATAGTTCTCCAACAAAGTTCCATACTAGCTGGATTTCTGCACTTTCCAGAGCTTCCTCCACTTGCAAACTTGCATGACGTTGTTACCACTTCAAAAAAGAACGTAGGAAAGCAGCTAGTTACTGAAGCTGTTCCAATGACTTGGCACTATTAACAAAAGTAGCACTTCTGTTGATTCCCTCGAGCAAAAGAATTCGCACTGCTTCCAAGCCAGTCTGAAACGTAAAATCCAACTGGAGAAAGGAAACAAGCAATTGTTAACCTCTTACATAATCTTCACTATAACTCCCTTCTTTTGATTAACCATTATCCCTTGATTATATGACGTTTAACAGTGCATTAAACTTGAATATTACCTCTTCACGTTCTTGTTTGGTGAATGGGCGCATAACGAAATTCATGGGATCCATTTTCCCGGGGGGCCGGCCAATGCCTACATGTATTTCATGAAAATGGTAAATGACAAGGACCTGAAGAGACACTTTCACAAGAAAGCAAAATAAGTTCAGGATGTACCAATCCTTAGACGAGGAAAGTCCCGGCTACCTTTAAAGTGATTAATAATATTCTTCATCCTGAAAAGAAAATGGCATCAATCTTCCTTTGCAAAACCACAAAAATAAATTCTGTTGAGACAAAACTTGTCGATATGCTTGAGAAACGAAGGTGTTATTTTTAGATGGTCCTTGCTCTTGGCAACCATTGGCAGACCACTGGTGAATTGAGATCTTCAGTTAGCCAGAGACACGAAGTACATAATTTTTAAAGCTTTTACAGAAAACTTACATAAACCTTAATGGATTATGAATGACATTATGTCATCATAACCCAAATTTTTTTAGTCTGTCTTCCTTATAACAGTACAAGAAGGGCTTAATATCTATCTAAAGAAGACAGATTTTGTTCAGCATTAATCATCTAATGTTGCTTACAAATAAAAAAAATTGGCAGAGAACCAAGAGAGCTTTGTCACATTGCAGAAAGTCATCTGCTCTCCATCTTTCAAGAAACAATTATCAGAGCTGGCACGGTCTTAATCTCCAATCCACAACATAACTAAAATCTTTAGCAGTGAGAAGCATTTCTAAGTCAACATCAGATCCTTCTGCTTAGATGCATGATTGCATTTATTGGTCTACTAAGAGTTTTAACTCACTGAATTTCCCTGAATTGGTAATTTAGATATCTGCCTACATATATGTCTATGGACTTGTTTAAACAATATAATTATATCAATTTTGCCATTTTTAAATCACCAATTTAACTTTACAGCAGAGGGAAGATGCAATGGGATAAAAACCAGTAGATGTTGAATGGAAGCAATACAAAAGCTAATTTTCAGACTGATATGTACCCGTTATGCCCTCCATGTCCACCCTTTGGCAGTAACCGCAGCTTTGCAAATGGAAGATCCATATCATCAAAAATCTACAAAGCATAAAATCTTTACGCCCTTAAGCCAACCAAGATTGTAAGGAATTTTTTTTTTCTCTCTCTCTTTTTTTTTTAAAGCAGATTGAAAGAAAGTTATTCATTGGCTTTTAATCAAAACACACATAATTACCACTAGGACTTGCGCCAATGGGATCCTATAATACGAGGCAATTGCCCCAACCTATTACAGAGTCGAGGAACAAGAAACAAGTTAACCATTGCTACAGACATTAGTTAGTATCATGCAGTGCATAGCAAAGAAAAATTGCGAGAGCAGAGGAAACAAACTTACAGACTCACCACTTGCATTCATGAAAGTCTGTGGTTTAGCTAGCATCACAGGCACATTTGCAATATGACCTACAATGGAAATTCAATACAACTTCAACAACTATCCATTACCCAAAAAAGGGGAAAAAAAGTCCCAGAAATCAACAAAGTTTAAATCTTTCCTTTTTTTTTTAACCTAAACAAAATGTCCATTCAACATCTACCTCAAGATTCAAGCGTCAACAGTAGCAAAAGTAAAAGAACAAAAAAAAAATTAACCTTTTCCAAACAGGGCCTTGAAGGAAATACTACCCATTGAAATGCCCTCTGCTTGAGCAATGTAATCCACCATCTCAAAACCCACCTATCAATCAAAAACTTTTATTAATCAAGATTTTCCAATAAAATTACTTTAAACGACTATGAAGAAGAAGGGAGGAGAAAGTACGGACGTTATGGCGGGTCCCATTGTACCGCTTCCCCGGGTTACCGAGCCCTACGATAAGCCAGGTCTGAGTTTTCGGCTTATCAGTAGGCGCCGCTGCTGACGCTGACGCTGCTGCAGAAGAGGAAAAAGAGGCTGCGGCGGAGACTGAGGAAGGGGATAGGTCATTATTATGAGTATTATGCACCATTCTTAATCTTGGGGTAAATTGGGTAAGAGTAGAAGAATGCCTTGTCCAAGAATAAAATGGGATAAGGGTTTTAGGGTGGTCACAAGAGGAGAAGAGGAGGCGGAGAGCGGCGGCTGCGGTGGTGGTAGAAAATGCAGCAGATACTCTCATTATCACGAAGTTTAACTAAGCAGGCATAAACAAAACTGGGGCAAAATTTGGTTTAGGAAATTTTCTAATGATTTATGAAAATTAAGCTGAAAATGGGCAAACTCTTTGGTCGAATGGAAGCGCCGCCAGCGCTGCCACCGACTATGCGGAGAAAGGCAGAGGACGGCCATTGCTGCTGTTACCAGAACATTTTGTACAGAAGAATTATGGACTGCTAGACCTCAAACTCAAATTAAGCATCACGACGCCGTTTTGGCACAAATCCAATAAAGCAAAAAACATAAAAGATAAAAGATAACGCCGTTGCCGGGGATCGAACCCGGGTCACCCGCGTGACAGGCGGGTATACTCACCACTATACTACAACGACTTCGTTGTGATGAGGCTCGAAAGTTAGCTAATCTCCTAGTAAGGATGGTTACGCTTCGAGTCCCAAATTTCCATTCGAGGACCTGTCTTTAGTGCTTAAA